AATACCAAATCACCCTATTAAAAAATGGGGTACAGAATGGAAGAAAGAATTCTCAATAGAGGAAATCAAAAAGGCTGAAAGACACTTAAGAAAATGCTCCACATCCTTAGCTATCAGGGAAATGCAAATGACAACAACTTTGAGATACCATCTTATTCCTGCCAGAATGGCTAAAATTAGAAACACCAATGATGACTCATGTTGGAGAGGATGTGGAGAAATGGAAACACTCCTCCACTGCTAGTGGAAGTGTAAACTCATACAGCCTTTTTGGAGATCATTATGGCGGTTCCTCAGGAAAATGGGAATTAGTTTACCACAGGACCAAGCAATCCCCTGTAAGGAGTATGGTTTTTCTCCCTGCCGCCACTGGTCTTGTCCAGCAGCTGTGCCAGCCCCAAATAATGCACAGAGACTCTGTATTTGATACAATGCTATTGGCCAGGTACTAGTTTCTTATTGGCTAGCTCTGCCTTAGTTATTAACCCATTTGTGTTAATCTATGTATGTCCACGTGTTCTTCTTACTGGGAGCTGGCTGCAGCATACTGCTCTCTCCAGACTCTCCATCTTGACTCCTCCTTACTACTTCTTATTTCCTCCATGTCTCCTAGTCCCTCCTATCTTCCTTTCCTATTGGCCAACTGTGCTTTATTATTAACCAGTATGCGAAACATATATACATAATGGCATCTCCCATTAATCCCCCTCTTAGGCATATACAGAAATGATCCACATCTCTGCAACAAAGACATCTGTTCAACTATGTTCATAGCAGTACTACTTGTAATAGCAAGAACCTGGAAGCAACCTACATGCCCCTCAATTGAAGAATGGATAATGAAAATGTGGCCCATCTACACAATGGAATACTACTCTGTAGAAAAAAAGAATGTTATCTTGAAATTCGCAGGCAAGTGGATGGCACTTGAAGTAACCATCCTGAATGAGGTAACCCAGTCACAAAAAGAGGAACATAGTATGTACTCGCTCATATATGGATTTTAGACCTAGATCAAAGGATCACCAGCCTATAATTCACACCACCAGAGGAACTAGGATACAAGTTGTATTCTAAGAGATTCATATAAAGTCCCTCACAGAAGTGGGAAGGGACTAGTCCCCCAGAGCACAGGGGAACTGTGGGGGCAGCGAATGGAGAGAGAAGTAAGAGAAAAAGAAGGGGAGGAAAGGAGAACATGTTTGATCAGGAAGATTGAGCCTGGTTAGGAATAGAAGACAGGAGAGAGAGAGAGACAGAGAGAGAGAGAGAGAGAGAGAACGAACATAAAAGAGGGAGCCAATATTGATTTGAAGATAAAATTGAACACAAAGAAAGGTCTAGAGAACTACAAGACTGCTGCAATGTAACAATTTGAGCTTCTGTGGAAAGGCTACCATAAATTCCCTTCCCGGAGAGTGAGATCAACAACTAACTTATCCATGGAGCCCTCATCTAATGCCTGTTGGAAGCAGGAACAACACCCATATATAAACACTGAGTCAAACTAGAACCCAGATGCAGATGGAGAGGATAAGACCAGGCAGTAGAAATACATAGAGATAGCTTACCTGAGCAAGGAGGAGCTAATGGGCCACCAGACTGACAGCTGGGTTGCCAGCATGGGACTGACTCAGGCCCCCCTGAATATGGATCTCAGCCAGAAAGACTGAGCAGTCCAAGGGACCTCAGACAGTGGAGCCAGGATGTATCCCTGTTGCTCAAAAGGACCTTGCTAACACATCCCCCATGGAGGGATAACTGCCTTAACCTAGAGACAGGAGAGAAGTCCTAGTCCCTACTTCACATGATCTGTCAGATCTACATGACCCCAACTGGATGGCATTCCCCTACATATGGAATTGAGGTGGGGGGATGGGAGGGGAGGGTGGTTAGGGTCCATGTGAGATGGCAGAGAGGGTAAATGGAAGAAGGGAGGGAGGGACGGAGAGGGAACCGGGATCGACCTGTGGTTACATGTAAAATAAAAAATTAAATAAAAAAATGCTTTGACTCCAAAATTTATGTTCAAGGACAAGTTACTGGGGAAAATGATTTCTATTTTTGTTTTCACAGAAAATGAAAAGCTGTGGATTCCTTCCAGACTAATGTGGTTTGATCAAGCCAGACCACCTGAAACAAAGAACCATGTGCTCATACATTCAAAACAGCTGGACAAAGCAGCCTTACAGAATACAGCCAGGATTTCTGCATCTTCTTAGAATTTCCCATGACAGCGCCCCTTACCAGCTTAATGTAGTTTCGAAAGAATGACGCCCAAATTCCCAAATATTGTGTATAAATATTTGTTTTCATTTAAATGGATTTGATTATATAAAATAAGTAAAAAGAAAAAATAAAAAAAAGAAAGTAGCTAATGCCCCATCCAAACTTCAGTGAGATTCTTTGCAATACATTACAGGCATGGAAACTGAAGTTTTGAGAGAATAAACATCTCTCAGACTATCACTTAGCTTCCATGTGACAGAGGTGTGCCATGGATTTCACATTTGTAATTCCCTTTGTAGAATGACTACAAAGTTTACCACCCAGCATAGGACCTATTTGAGTGAAAGTCACAGTTGCAGTTTACGCAAAAAAAAAAAATAAGTGTAAACCAAGATTTCCAGAAACAAATGGGATAGTTATCAATCCAAATTTTCCTCTGAACATTGGTTTTTGTCTAATTATCATTTTAAAACATTGTATTTGATTTCAGAGTGTTATTTCACATTTATCATTGGTATATATATATATATATATATATGTATGTATGTATGTATGTATGTATGTATATGTATATGTATTTTATTTTCCTGTTTTAGTTTTCTTTAATTTTTTTTTTTTGCTTTATTTTGTTTGTTTTTAGACAAGGTGTCACCAGATAGCTCAAACCACCTAAAACTCATTATGTAAGCCATTCTGGCCTTGGACTCTTGGCTATCAGGCCTCAGCCTTCAGATTCAAGCAATATTAGTGTACATCCTCATGTGAGTTAGTTATACAATAATTTTTAATGTGCATAACAAACTTATATTAAAACTGAATAATCTTTAGAAAGTTTTAAAAATTACAATAAAGACAATGACAATTTAAATATGCCTAAAAGATTATTTATTGAAAAGACTGGAAAGGAAATAGGTTCTCAAAGAAATAATAGTAAGTCCAATTCCACAAACTATTTTTGTACATATTATTGGCATGCATATTCAACTCAATATGGAACTTTTATAATATTTGAAATACAATTGGAAAGCATAAAGAGTTCATGAGTCAAATTCAAATAAAATGAATTTCATATAATACATAGAATAAAAGAAGAAAATCTTTTGTCCACGTAGATTCATTCAAAATTGTCTTTTTGTTGTTGTTGTTGCATGATCCAAAGATGAAAAAGTAGTTGTATTTCCAGTCTCAGTCAATTCTGTGAAAGAAAGTATGTAGAATCAGTTTTGTTTTGTTAAATCAATGGATCTCAGCCTTCCTAATGCTGTGACACTTTAATACAGTTCCTCATAGTGTGGTGACCCCCAATCATAATATTATTTCATTGCTACTTCATAACTATGATGTTGCTTCTGTTATAAATTGTAGTGTAAATATCTGATATGCAGGATATCTGAAAAGTGATTCTTGTGTAAGGACCCTTAATTCACAATGGGGTTAAAACCCACATGTTGAGAACCATGGATTTATATTTATTCACCTCTCACCATTCATAGAAAAAAAAATAAAAATAGCAATTGTTTTACAAAGGTACACTAGGTTCTGGTTCTTTTCCTTAGAGGCATATAACTCCTATTCAATGGCATACCAGCTCACAAGAATTGTTTCAAAATATTTATCCTTTCTTCAGTCCTAAATGGTTTTGTAGTTTAGAATACTAAAGCTATATACACTGCTCTATTGTACCTATTTAATACCTGGACTGAGTAATTTGCTTTTGAATCATGAATTAAAAACAATTTTAAATGCAAAAACATAAAAATTTTGAAACATAAGGTATGCATTGAAATGAAAATTGGCCTGTAACAAAAGCTATAATGCAATCACATAAAACATAAGAAAACTTTATTTCTGAGTGTCTTATAACCAGATGATATAATATGTAAAGACAAAATCTTTTGGAATGAGACAGATCTATGCCAATGGCAAGCAAATAAAATTAAATTTCCTTGAAATTTAAGCTATGCCTAGTGTCAAGGTGGTAAGAAGCTGTAAACCAGTGAGAACACAGTGATAATTCAAATTTGCTACTCTGTTCTGTTTACATTGGAGGATGAAATATAAAAATGTCAACTACAAAAATAGTTATTCTAATCTTCAATATCCAGAAACTTACCAAAAATTAGGAAGGGCATTAACCTGGAAATCCTCTTAGACCTTAAATGCAAACAAATACAAGTAAATAAGTATACATTTTCACACTCATTGAAACACCTACCTAAAATAGATTCTGTGTAACTAATGAAATGTCTTAGTCTTTTGATTCCATGTATATATACTCAAAAGAAAAAAAATACACTCCAATATGGGATACTATATGTGCACAAAAAACTTTAGAATTTTAAGGAAAACACTTTGTTACTCAAATCTAATAAATTTCCAAGTTTAACTGTGTTTAGTCAACCTTAGTCCTCTTTAAGTCAGAGTTCCCAGCTGACCAGTTAAATCAGCCTTCTTGCAATTGTCTATTTCCATCAGGCCACTACTTTTTTCTTGACAATTGTAACACTTACATCAAAATCTTTAAGGCACTAGGCACTGAAAATTATATTGAAGTGAAGATCTCCAGGTGATTCTAGTTTATAGTTCATAATGAAGATCATCAATTTATTAAATAATCATACACACACATATTATATATATATATATATATATATATATATATATATATATATATATATATATTCTTCCATTTTAGAGCTCTCGTTTCTTCTATTAATGTCATCATATGCACATTTTGAGGGGAATTTAAAAGGAAGTAAATTTAGACTTACAGTGATGGGACGAGATGGTCCATTGGCAGAGAACTGGGGGATGGGGTTAAGCAGAAGGTCTAGGTATTGCAGGAGAGTTTGGGAAGGCATATCTCTTTGAAGGAAGGGCGCTACTTGCTGGAGAAGGTAAAGAGCTTTGGACTGAGGAAGAGACAGCTGGGATTGAGAAGAAACGATGGGAGTCTGAGGGAAAGCCTGAAGGACTTGAGCCAGGAGCTGAACCTGAGACTGAGGAATGTGCTGGTTTGCAAGAGTAGCAGGACTGAGAACTTGAGGGTTAAACCGAGAGAGCACAGCTTCAGAGTTAAGAGAGGATATGACTTTGTGCTTGGGAAGGATGGCGGCTTTAGCTTTTAGGAGAGCTTCCACTTCAGGAGAAATGACAGGCCCAAGAGAAGGCACCACAGAGGCTTGAGCAATAGACTGGGCGTTTTGTGCAAGGGGAGTGCAAGAGATGGGCTGTTCGTAAGGAAAGCCCTGAGGCTGTGACTGGACAAAGGGGTGAACTTTGTTCTGGAGCACACCCTGGAAATAAGAGAACATTTTAGTCCGCCGTTCACCAATGTTATTTTTTCTCAATTTATTAATGATCTTTTTTAGCTGATGACAATTGACCAAAGGAATGAATTTGCTCACAAAACTATCATATTTCATTTGCTTAAAAGACTATCTTCGCCTAGCTGGGTATGGTGTCTGATGCCTCTAAATCTACCAGTTGATAGGTTGAGGCAGGAGGATTGCTATAGACCAACCGAAGCTAAATTGTGCGTTCTTGGCAAGCCTGGGGTACACAGTAAGAAGTGATTTCAACTTTATCTTGAAAGATACACAAAACAAAAGGACATTGTCTTGGGTAACATTAAGAAAATAAGTAAAGTGTTCTTAAGTATTTCACCCTAAACTATTCTACTAGTAGAAGAATTATGATGTAAAATGAAATCAATGTTCACATTTTTTAGGAACTTTTCACTTTTCCCCAAGCCATTTCTACACCTGTAGTTAATATATATTCTTAGATATTAGATAATATTGATTTCTTAACCTTTGTAGACTGATAATAGAACTAGTTGTTTTTGTACAGTTGAAGGCAAATTAATTTTAAAAGGTTTAGTGGGTCAATACTAAAGTTTATTTTATTTTATTTTAAGGGGAAAATAAACAGCCTTAATTTGTGACTAAATTCTGTGATCCACTTACTATTGGTCAATTTATAGAATGGTTTACTTTGGTAAAAATAGTTTTTTAATCTTTTCAAGCCGTATCAATTTTAAAAATTTTAATTTGATTTGAAAAATAAATGTGAGCAACAAGCAATTTACTAAAGAGAATGAACTATCAAAGTTAAGCTGTTATGTAAGTGTGATTTAATAGTGGACCTTGACACTATTCAGAAAACCATTGACTTGATGAAAACCTCTTCTGCTGTACAGCTTAAGCAGAGGTCCATTCAGTTGTTCTGTATCTCACTCTACTTATCTTTGAACTAGAAATGCCCTTAAGGCTAGCTAAACATAAAGCACAAATGTTTTCACAAATCAAATGTGAATTAAAACCATTGACTCTATTGAAGGCCAATTAACTACATTTATGGGGAAAATTTAAGAATGTGTTCAGCTCACAGGTGAAGAAAAGGAGCTACAAAGAGACTAATACACAATATTCTTCATCAGGCAGGTGCTCAGTTTAGGATTTCTGCCACATCCCCAATGTGACTTTCATCACCATATTTATTTAGAAAATAAAAGAAACACTGTTTAGTCTGGGGAAATGCTTATGTTAATGACTAAGCACAGACAAGATCACTAGTAACTGTAATCATGATTTAGAAAAGGACGCCTGAGTGTGCTGTCATTGCACTGCTGCTGTATGGCCACTGTTGACTATGAACACACATGTTATAGTTACTCTCTGGCATTACACATCACAAAACCGAGACATAAATTCTCCACCAGCAATTTACCTTTGCTTGCAGCTGTTCCATTTGTCCCGCCATCTGAATTTTCTGTTAGAAATAAAGTGTCTGTTAAAAATCTCAAAATTCTCACCTTTATGAACAAAGTATGGGTATTAAATATAATGGGTTTACCTCACTGATATTTTCAGTAGATTCCTTCAGAAAAATAAAAACAAATAATTAACTTTTACTGAGTCTACAGTATTTTTAATGGGTATTAAAAAATTAAGGTATTTGGTAGTCTTTTAATAGGCCTCTAATGGGAATATTGATGAACTCTTATATTTAAACTATTTGGAACATTTTGTGTATGCCTAATGTATACAAGAAAGATGAGCACAGTAAAAAAGAGGAAAGTGAATTAGTGAGCACAATGTGTAAAGACACATCTAAGCAATGAGAAAACAAAGCTATTGTTTTCTCTCTTGTTACAAATGATCTTTAAATCCCATTTAATTCTTAAAACCAAACACGCAAAGTTGAAAATACAGTCTAATGATAGCTAAAAGTACCTATTTTAGTAAGTACTCTTAGTTCACTTGCTAATATCCCAGCCTCCAAATAGACTATAAGAAATAAATATTTCCTCTGAGGCATTTGTAGAATTATGAAGAGAAGTGTATATACTTGTATTCTCTAATAAACAAATGTAGCACATACAAATAAGTAGTTCAAGGTAGAGACATCTGTTGCATCTCACTTTTTTATTTACCTAATGACAACTTTAATAACCAAAAGCATCCTTCTGCAAGCAACCTTACCTAGTATAGAAAAAGCATGTATTTCTATTAGCATTTGTCTTTAATTTGAACTGTAGCTGCTAGACAATGAACAATCCAAAAATGCATGTCAAATTAGAGAGAGCTCTTGGCAGAGAATACAATTGTGAGATTTTCAAATAAAAGGGGTAGAAGAGGCAGCGGAAATATTTCAAATAAGAAACTAACTTGGTAAATTCTAGAATATGCAGCTATCTAGATATTTTTCTGCCCCTAATACAATGCACAGCATATTTATCAAAGCGGCATATGTTACTCTGTGGCTAACACAGTGTAACGCAACAGAAAAAAACACGCACTTTAGTGTTTTAAGTCTACAAGCTGCCTCTGAGTGAGAATTGCCTTCCCTCACTGCTGGAAATGCTCTCTGTATGAAAAAACAATAATGATTTATACACATTAATTTATAGATCCAATTAGGACTTCCAGATCACTAAAAAATGTAGTTATTTCAGGGTTAGAAATATTCCACAATAAAACCTCTTACCTCGGAGGATATGCTGAGTGATTCCTTTTGTAAAAAGAAATAAAAGAACTTATTAGTGACTATATATACCTTGCTACTAAACATGCTTCCTATTTGACTTTTACATCATATACCTCTTTCAGAAACTTAAAAAGCAAAAAAGTTGTTGTAAGCTTTTTAGAATCTTGAAAACATATTTACTATCACTGATATTTTAGTAAAGTTTTATTGGCTCATTCCTACATTAGATTAATTTGTGCATAATTTTTGATGAGTGAGAAAATAAAGAAGTTACTTTAGTTTCTTCTAAGCACTTTTTTTATTATGCCTACAAGTGTACTAAAATTCTTGACTATGTACTTCCTCTGAATATACCTTTGGACAGGCACAGTAAGATTTGAGCTGGTCATCAAAGGGATGCATTCACTTTATCACTAGAATGAGATGTGTAGTCTACTTTTGTGGAATCATATTTACTTGATGTATTTCTGTTGCCTTGTTTTGCTTCTTGTTTAAGTTTCCTTTGGAACTGGTGGTGCAATAGCACAGGGAGCACTTGTCCCAGCTTTGAGAGCCTACAAGAACTATGGGACAACTCATGACTCCAAAGAAGCAGTGACTAAATAAGCAGATCTGAAGGTCTCTGTTATTTATACACTGAGCTGTCACTGCTGCTACTGTCTACAAGTGAGCAGACCATTTTCTACTTTTTAATGATCTAGGAAGCTTCTTTACACACCTCACTTGCAAGAGCAAGTGCCACAAGGCAGGCAAAGATGAAGACCTTCATGGCTGTAGTCAGGTCCTGTGAATGAAAAGATGAAGGGGTTGTAAAAGATGAGTCAGTCAATTAAAGTCAAACTCTCCTCTGGCTCCTAAATACTCCTATTACTAACATCAAATTGAGATGTCAGCAGCCAGTAACAGTGTTATCTGCTCACAGCTCTCTTCCAATCTTTTTTGCTATTTCTCTATTGTTAACAGAATTATGGATGCCTTACAAAACTATGAAGAAGTCATAACTATGGAACACTGTGGTGAATAAAACTATTTAGCTATTACAGGTGTCCAGACAGTGAACAGATTATGAAGACATTAGCAATAGGAAGACTCACTTCTAGAGTGAATTGATAGACAATATGCGTTAACTCTTGCGATACTAGTGAAAAATCTCAGCGTGAAAAAAAAAAATTTAGATATATTTACAAAGTACTCTCTCCAATACTTGATGGTAGAAAATTATTCTGTTAGTGAAATGCTGGTTTTGGATTTTTGGGTGGATGTTGCATATTTCATTCTGAACTTTTCCTTGTCTAAAGACTCCTCCATGAGTTTCCATAAAATTTAATTGTCCTAGTTTAAAAGAAATTTATTCCCTTGTAGATTATGCATGAAGGGAGAGTCCCATTGCAATTCTTATATTTTTCCTTACTCATTTTTATGCCCATCTTTAAACTGGAACTTTATTGTTACCTGGTATGCTAATAAGCCACTATTCTTGCAACTCGTCTTATTTCTATAATCATGTTTTCAAAATTATATCTGATCTTTCTAGAACTATTTTATAAACAGAAGACTTTACCTCTATTTTTCATGTGTTACTATTTCACATGTGAAATATTATGAGCTAGATCAAGAACTTCAAGACTCTGAACAAGTTTTATGGTTGCAATCTTCTTGTACACAAAGATGTAATTTGCTGCTTCTAATGTTGCCCAATAAATATTCATCTTTTCGTGATATAATTTGAATGCATTTTATTACTAAAATACAGCAAATCAAATAAGATAGCTTGTCAATTCTCAGTCTCTTTTCTTATATCATTCACTGACCTTGTATTTATTATTGCATTTTCTCTTTTTCATAAAGCCAATAGTCACTGTAATTTTTACCAAATCTTTCTAGACATTTCTGTATTTTTAAGCCCAGTTTTTTAAAAAAATAATCCCATTACTTCTTAAATATTTAATTTTAAAAATCTATATTTTAGGTAATTATTTTATTTCCATTATTTCTATTCTAGTTTAGCTTTAAATAAACTATGAAAAGTGCATGTCAAAATATATCTGAAATTCTTACCTTTAATGGAGGACAAGAGTGAAGGTGAAGCTGGAAGGATGATGGTCTATCTGCTTCTGCGACTGTATATATGCTGTATTTAATGACATGCTAATTTTGTGGTTTGTAAGACATTCAAGAAGTCCCTTCAATTCCAGGAAGTCCACATGATGAGAAAGTGGTTTCTTTCTAGTCTTTATCCAAAGAAATTCTGGGGTGCATTGAACAAGGCAACAGTTGAAAAGCTGGTATAGGAAACTCATCCAGGAAATGTCCAGTATCTTAAAGTAACTGGTTAGCCCTCTAGTCTAGTACCCAGTTGCTGTAGATTCTGTTCTCTTTGCATTCTAGTGGGGGCTTTAACCTTAGTTGTGGGCAATTAAATATAGACACTGGAGATACACAGAGCTTTGTACAGGTCATGACTTCATCTTAACCTCAGCATTAAGAATTCAACGATGATATGATAGGCCTAGACATGCACAGCAAACTCTTTATCACTCACATTCACATGATTTGGGAAAAATAAAAACTTCAATATTTACTACACAAAGAGATGTATTTTATACAGCAATAGAACAAGTCAGAGAAGAAATCTATAAAATTTGTATAGAAGTAAAACTATGAATCTGTAGCAAAAAGTTTGCAAACACGTCTGAGGATCAGCCTAAATATACAAAGCCTCCGGTTACTATAGCCAACACCAGTAAACATGTTACCTTTTCTGCCCCCTCCTTCTCTCTCTCTCATCCTCCATTCTGCTTTTTTCCTTGAAGATGGTCATAGAGATTTATTTATTTAATAAGCAGTTATCATTTTCTACTTCAGTTATAGTAACTGTAGCAGTGATTACAGATTACAGATTATTTTTTACTTAACAGTATGTATATCAGCCACCATATACATTATAATTATCAATATTTTTTTACAAAACAGTTTGAAGCTGTTCCTTTCTCTCATTTAACAGTCAGGAAACAAAGATAGCAGTGATGAAATAATTTATTCAGTCATGGTATATTTAATAATAAAGTTATCATCCCCACTCCTCATCTGTCTCAAAAGTGATTTTATTTGGTCACATGTAAGTTCCACAGCCCATACTTTAACTCATCTGAGAATTTGTTGTGAAAAAAGTCCCTCAGTTTTAATTGTAATATTTTTGTTTTAATGTATAGAATTAAAATTATATAATGCAGAAAAGGTACATATTTGCTGCATGTAGGAAGATGAGTTTGCTACTTTAGCTAGGTCATAAAGAATAAGTAGAATTTTGAAATATCAATCTGTGGTACAATATAACATCTGTGAGGACCCATAAGCGTAGACAGTACAAGTTATTGTGACAGATGTTTGACTAGACCCTAAATATAGTCATGCGTGAACACTGCATGTAACAAAACAGTTGTCAATGGAGAGACATTCCAGATTAAATATGTTTTCCCAAGTGTTTCAATAGTAGGCCATATGCAGCAATAAAGAAATGCTAAGTAGGTTATACATACTCTTCATAGGAAAGCAGGAAGGAAAAACAACTTATGCAGAGTAACGAGCATCTTAACAAATCTGTAATGCAGTGCAACAGTCAGAGAAGGGATAGTTGGTTCATTTCAGATGATGGTTAAGAAAGAGGAAAAGAATATACACTGAGTAAGGAATTCTGGGCAAAGAAAAAAAAGGAGCTAAATCCAGAGGGATACAAGGTCTTTGCAGGACTACCATTAGCAGAAGCTGAAGGAGGCATCAAAATACTTGGTTTGCAAAGACTTACAAATGGCAGTTCAAAATTTCATTGTCTATTTAATGACAGATATTCATAAAAGTGTTTAGCTATTTGTATTTGATGCTGGTCATTAGAAAATATTTCTATTATACTCCCTATGTAAAAGATAACTTCTCAAGTGAAAACTTTATCATCATTTTTTTCTCTGAACAGATATGACATTGCCATCACACTAAATTTATGGGAGAGTGACACTTCTGATAGTCAAATCTGTATTATAGTTCTTGAGAAACCAAAGTCAATGACTATTATATTTTGTTATTTGTTTGTTTTTTCAGTTGATTTTTCACTCTAAGTCTCTGAACATTTTAAGCCAAGGAGAATCTAGTAAAAGAAATGTTGAAATTCTTCCAATGTCTTAAGCCATTTTAGGAAACATTTTGGCTGCCTTGTGCATCCTTGTGCTAGTCTCCTGGATTGCCAATACCATTGGCAACAATGTATGATTTCCAAGAAAACTAATACACAGTAAGTATGCCTTACTCATGAACATTTCCTTTTAATTTTCTCAGCAAAGTTCTTTACATCTTGTGCAATAGCTACAGCATTTCCTTGGGGCTCTCTCACAGACCTTAAATGTTTTAATCAATATTCTGACAGATTGGTCTGAGCCAGAAAATTAAAATTACTTTCAAGAAAAGCATGAATAATAAACTAAAACAAGAGAATTTTTCAGTGAAAAATAGAAAATCTAGAGTTCTAAAATAAAGTAGATGTTTGTAGTAAGGAAAAGTTTAGACAGCAACTATGTAAGAAGCAATGTACAGCAACTTACAGTTTTCACACACACACACACACACACACACACACACACACACACACATACCCACACACGCACATACACAAGAATTATAGGCACTGAGATTTCTCAAAAGTGGAATATGTCTTAGAATTTGAGTGATGGGTTTGAAATATGCAAACATAAAATTTGAGTGACTCCTAAAGCTAACAGCTGAGGTCATATAAATACCACAAAAAGAGAAAATTGCAACAAAAGAGTAAAATAATGTGAACAACCACTGAAAACATAAAGGTTAGAAAATACCCTAGATATCATTCATAAAATGTTTAAAGATATTATATTTAAATGAGAAAACTTAAGATAGGAGAGATTGTATTTGTTTTTTTGAGATTGTATAGATATTTAGAAATTAGTCAGTGATAACTAATATTCAAAACAAAAAATGGAGATACCATAAGAGAGGGAGCCATTATAGGTTTCAAAAGAAAACTGACTCCAGAGAAATGCCCAGAGACTTGCAAGGATGACCCCACCTAACAATTTGAGCAACAGTGGAAGCAACTGTGCCACTGGAAAGCCATTTCAGTACTGCTGAAGACTCACTAAACCTGCATTTCTGTAGCCCTCTGCCCAACTTTAATGAACTTCCTCCTAGGAGCATTACATTCTCCAGCACTTGCTTGCTACTTATGTATATTCAGAGACTTTCTGATTCTTATATCTTTCTGAAATTCCAGAGTTTTTAGGGTGTCTAAGCTTCCTGAGTTCTGCAAGCAAAGCTTCCTCATCCTTCATCAGCAGGGATGTTTTCAATTTGATTAATTTGTTACTATTTACATTATTATTGTTGCCCAGAATTTTCTATGTCACCTATTCATTCTCTTTAATTCATTTCCATTTACCTAAGAAAATGTTTGATATATCAAATAATATATTTGTTTATGGCAAATATTTTCTCAAATGTATCAAATAATATACTGTTGATATCAACTTGAGTATGTCTCTTTCTTTGTTACTACATGTCTGTCTGCCTTCTATCCTTATTATTAAAAGATTTCTTATTTTTGTCTTGCTCTAATCTCTAATTTGTGTAAATAAATGGTTAAAAGTAAATTTTTAGTGAGACTATGAACATATTTTATTCTCACTTCTTACTTAGGCTATCATCAATATCAAAATTCTTTTTTGTTTTCTTGATTTTCCAAGACAG